CTTGACTGCTAACCAGAAGGCTGGTGGTTCAAACCCACCAGCCACTCCTTGGAAGGAAGGTTGGGCAATCTACTTCCGTAGTGATACCGCCTCGGAAACCCAAGGAAGGGTCTCTATGAGTCGGGTCCAACTCGATGGCAAATAACAACAACAACAATGGCCTATTGACAAGTATAAGAAAAAATCCCTAATACTATTATCTATCTTATGATATTTGTAGCCATCTGACTGCTAATAAAGGGATAAATTATAAAATTATTGGAGGTGCATAATTACGGTGACCAATAAACATTAACAAAGCACTTAGCATGGTCATAATTACTGAAATAATAATTACTACCATTCATTATTTATTCTGTGCCAGTTTCTGTGCTAAGTACATTATACACATATATTTCTTATTTAATCCATATGAGGAAACAAATGTAATAAGTTGTTCAAAGTCACATAGGTGGTAAGGGGCAGAACCAGAATTCAAACCCAGGTCTGTCTCATTTCAAAGTCCAGCCTCACAACCATTAATTAGTCTCTTACTATTTACTAAGGTAGTGGGGGAAACTAAGAGATTTAAGACATAATCCGTGCTCTCCAAGGGTTTACATTCTAGTAATGTAGGCAGATAAACAAAAAGTAAATGAAAATACAGTGCAGAGTACATGGTCAGTACCTGGTAAGTGCAGCACTCATCAGGGAATGCAGCACCAACAAATGCTAGCTGGGGCAAATAGGAAGACTTAATGGAGGAGTAGGGCTTCCCTCAGGTTAAGGGGAAGGAGGTGCAGCAAGTACATGTGCCATTACAATGCTGGGAATATAGACAGTCTGTACAGGAAACAAGGAGCTTTGGTGCCACAGTGGTTAAGGAATTTGATTGCTAACCAAAAGGTCGATGGTTTGAACCTATGCGGCAGTATGCTTCTCTAAAGATGCATAGCCTTAGAAACTCTATGGGGCAGTTCTACTCTGTTCTCTAGGGTCGCTATGAATGGGAACTGATCAATGGCAGTGGGTTTCGTTTTGGTTTTGGATATAGGAAACAATGAAATATTCATTTTCTGGTTCTCTTGGGTAGCTGCCAGTAAAGCTGGCACCTGAATAATGGTCAGACTTCAGAGGATTGTCAATGTGGAGCACGACAGATGAGGAGTATGCAAGACACAAAGAAGTGGTAGAGGGAGGGAGGATAGAAGCCTATTGCAGTGGTCTACAAATAGTAAGACCATGACTGAGGAGATGGTAATGAATAAGAAGCTGGTTTGATGGACTCACTTGATCCTATTTTAAGACATGTTGATACAATCAAATATGAGAGGGTATATTCCAGCCACCTGGCTATAAATATACCACTGCAAGGTGAGAAACTGCTTTGTTTTGAGAAGGATCAAAACTGGTATACTGAAGCCCCCAGAAGAAGTAAATGATAATTTAAAAATCAACATTTCGTGAAAATTTAATCACCAATATTTCAAATAAAACCCAACCTTTTATAAGCCAAATAATCATTAAGTAGCTTTGTCACTTGCTTTAATGAATGAGATTAGAATAGATTTTTGTTTTGACTTACGTTAGTATTTGTGAGCAACCATGCACAACTTGTGGCTGGCAACTATATATGTTTTATGTATAAATATATAAAGAATATCATTACATGACATTATGACATTAAAGGTAACAAGCCATTAACAGAAAAAATAGTATTGCTAAGGCTGGATACAAGTTTCTTATCTACGAATTTCTACACCAAACAGGAAAGAAAATTGAACAATGCATTTCCCTGCAAAGAATCAAGCTGTGAGACAATGAGAGTATGTGGTGCAGTGAATTACTTGGTATGACTCTTCCAGCCATGGTCTTTGTGACTCCCACCAGATGACTGTGTGGGACTACACAAATGGAAGGTGCTTGTGGCCCACCAAGGGAACTGGATAGCTTGCTAATAATGTAGATAAGGCAAAGGGCACCCTTGCAGAGGTGGGACCATGCAAGTAATGTATATGGAAACCTAATGTGGAAATCCATCAGTTTTGCCATTCAAAACAAACAAACAAACAAACAAAGTCACTGCCATCAAGTTGGATCCAACTCACAGTGACCCCTCCTTACGTTTCCAAGGTGGTATCACTACAGAAGGAGCTCTGGTAGCATAGTGCCTAAGGCACTTGACTGCTAACCAGAAGGCTGGTGGTTCAAACCCACCAGCCACTCCTTGGAAGGAAGGATGGGCAATCTACTTCCATAGTGATACCGCCTCAGAAACCCAAGGAGGGGTCACTATGAGTCGGGTCTGACTCAACGGCACATAACAACAACAACATCACTAGAGAAGTACACTGCCCAATCTGCTTTCCGAGGAGTGACTGGTAGGTTTGAACAGCAGCCTTCTGTTTAGAAGTCAAATGCCTTAGGTTTGCCATTCAGGTAGGCTTAAAATGAGCCATCCCAGAAGCAGAAAAGGGGCATCTCACTACCATTAAGTAAGAAAAGCCAGGAGTGGAGCATGTTTTTGGACCTGAGATCCTTATGCTAAGACAATGAAAGGAGATGGTGGCAGCAAAGGCAGCAGAACCAAGAGACCATCATGAGACAGAGCGCTGGGCTTGCCAGCCCACAGAGCAAGAAAGCTGAGTGCCTTCAGGCAAGAGGCTTGTTGGCAGAGCTAAAAGGCCTTTCTAACACTTGCTCTGGTAGCATAGTGCCTAAGGCACTTGACTGTTCACCAGAAGGCTGGCGGTTCAAACCCACCAGCCACTCCTCAGAAGGAAGGTTGGGCAATCCTACTTCCATAGTGATACTGCCTCGGAAACCCAAGGAGGGGTCACTATGAGTCGGGGCCAACTCGACAGCAAACAACAACAACAACAACAACACAACACTTGCCTGAGCAGGGCAGGTTGATAGGCTGAGGGCCAAAGAGAGGTGGGCCTATAGGCATGGCCAATGGGAGGCTGTCCTGATTGAAGAATTGTATCCTGAGCATTCCTGAACCTGAATTGTAACCTATTACTTCCCTAATAAGCTCCATAACGGAGTACTGTACTGTGTGACTTGCAATGAATTACCGAACCCAGCAGAGACATAGAGTACTGTGGGAGGGATGGCTGGTGTCAGAATTGGTAAAAAGGTTGAAGGTGGTGGCACGTCTGACTTCCACCTCATAGGGATCACACTCAGCCTGATGGTGCTGATGGTGATACTGTCTCCCCAT